GGAGGAGCTTTTGGGGATCTCGCGTGGAAAGGAAGCCAAGGATGTCAACTGGACCGCCATTGCTGCCACTTTCGAGGATATCGAAGAGGTGTGTTTGACAGTTGCCGTTAAAATACAGGAAAATTACAGATATTATTTTTTATTGACATTTTCAGAAACCGGAACCGATCAAGATCTCTGTGGATGAGATTCTCAACAAGGTGCGAAAACCGTCAGTCCTGAAGAAGCAGCGCATCAAGTCTGGAGCAAATGCTGTCGCCACAAACAGTGAGTTTTTCAATAGTCCTGAACCCTAAAATCAGTCATTTAATTTTTCTTCACTTTCCTCCAGCTCGTCCCGCCCAGGTGTTCTGTTACCTGACCAGCTGGTCGGCCAAGCGACCAGGAGCAGGCAAATTTCAGCCGGAGAACATTGATCCCAAGCTGTGTACCCACATCGTTTATGCCTTCGCAACTCTGCAGGATTACAAACTGACAGAAGCCACCGATGATGATCCCGAGAATTATGAGAGTGTGATTGCCCTGCGAGATGCTAATCCTGATCTGCAGATCCTTCTGGCCATCGGAGGATGGGCCTTCGGTTCCACACCCTTCAAAGAGCTGACCTCGAATGTGTTCCGCATGAACCAGTTTGTCTACGAGGCTATCGATTTCCTGCGTGACTACAAGTTCAATGGTTTGGATGTGGATTGGGAGTATCCCCGAGGTGCCGAGGATCGTGTGGCCTATGTTAGTTTGCTGAAGGAACTTCGAGTAGCCTTTGAGGGTGAGGCCAAGTCATCAGGATTGCCACGTCTGCTGCTCACCGCCGCCGTGCCCGCCTCTTTCGAAGCCATCGCAGCTGGTTACGATGTGCCGGAGATCTCCAAGTACCTCGACTTTATCAACGTTATGACGTACGATTTCCATGGTCAGTGGGAGCGCACAGTGGGCCACAACTCTCCATTATTTGCCTTGGAATCTGCCACTGGCTATCAGAAGAAATTGACTGTTGATTACAGTGCTAGGGAGTGGGTGAAACAAGGAGCTCCCAAGGAGAAGCTTCTCATCGGCATGCCGACCTATGGACGCAGTTTCGAGCTGGTCAATGACACCCAATTCGATATTGGATCCCCCTCGTCCGGCGGTGGCAAGGCGGGCAAGTTCACTAACGAGGCCGGATTCCTCAGCTACTACGAGGTGTGCTCCTTCCTGGCGGCAGATAACACAACGCTTGTCTGGGACTCGGAGCAGCAGGTGCCCTTCGCCTACCGCGGCAACCAGTGGGTGGGCTTCGATGACGAGCGATCTCTCAAGACCAAGGTGAGTTGCGATTAAGTTAAGAAATGGAATCGATAGTAAACTCTAAACTCTTATAATTTCTTCCTAAAATACAGACCGAGTGGCTGAAGGAGCAGGGCTTCGGAGGCATCATGGTGTGGTCCATCGATATGGATGATTTCTCTGGTCGCTGCGGCAGTGGCAAGTACCCTCTTCTGACCGCCTTGAACGACGAGCTGAAGGACTACAAGGTGGAGCTGGAATACGATGGACCCTATGAGTCCCACGGCCCACGAGGAGCATACACCACCAAAGATCGTAAGTCCTATGCAAGGATTACACAAGAAACTATAAATTAATACTTATTAATCCAACCAGCTCATGACGTGACCTGCGCCGAGGAGGACGGACACATCAGCTACCACAAGGATTGGGCCGACTGCACCCACTACTACATGTGCGAGGGCGAAAGAAAGCACCACATGCCCTGCCCCGCCAACTTGGTCTTCAATCCACAGGAGAACGTCTGTGACTGGCCCGAAAATGTCGAGGGATGCCACACGCCTACGGAGGCACCCGCCTAAGACCTCCATCTCCGGATGGACTTGTTAATATTATGAAATCGATGCCCTAGATTTAGTTCTAATGCGAAACTGCCACGAAACTCTTTTGCTGCCGCCGTCCCCCTTTCCCCACTAACTACGAAGAATACTCGAAAACTTGCTAAATTTTGGCTGAATTTTTTTAAAACTAAATATAGGTCTAGCTAGCGCTGTAAGTAGTTTTTATGTCTTAGTTACCAATTCGCACCCACAACAAAGATGAGAATGACGGACCCCAAAAACCCAAAACTACTCTATCTGCAAGACCCAAAACTAACTTTCGCATTTCCGTATGACTCGTAACAAAAAGGTTTATATGGAAGATGCCCGAAACTTCCGTATAGCAAACTGTGATAATCATAAGAGACCAACAACCAACAAGAAATCGGCCAAGAAGTCACTATCGAAATTTTGTCAAAAAACAAAGCGAAACAGTTTCCTCAACAACAAGAAGCTTCCTTCTGCTTTTGCCCCAACTCTCCATCTCATATCTCATTCCTTATCTGAATAATACAAACAGGCACAGAGAAAATTGTACATTTTCAAGTTTTAACAATAAATTTGTATTATAGAGTTGTAATTACGTAGTTAAAATAAAAAACATTAAAAAAAATACGTTTTAAGAACTTTTTACTTTTAGTTTAAATAGTTCTTAAACATCACAAATAGGAAATACTTGAAATATTATCCACGAATTTCCAATACTACAATTCAAATTTATTCTCTATGGCCCCAGTCTTGCGACAGGGCACTACTAAAAATTATTTTAGACTCATTAGAGTGTTCCTCTCCACGGAAATCTTTAGTAAAAGGCGAAAGATTTATTCGACAATTGAAGAGAAACCAGAGTGCCGAACAACAGTTTTTATCAGCTACTCCATGCCAAAGCTGCTTGAACAAGTTGAGAATTATATGCGCACCAGCTCAAGCATGTTTCGTGAAAAACTGTTGCTCTCTTTTGGGCTGTAACTGAACCCTCCCTTGATAATGGTTTCAATGAGCGCGCTGTTTGAATATGCTATGTCTGCTTTCAGTGCGCATGCCCTTGATTTTATGGTTTTTGCTGCATGGGCGCCATCTCTTATAAATATATGCCTCTTATATTCCCCAGAAATATCATAATATTACGGTTTCTTGATCCCTAACAAGTCCTCCAGGTAAGCTAATTTCCAAGTAGCCATGCATACCATTATCGGGCTGTAGCATGCAGACGAATGAACTTCATGAAATGAAGACACAACAAATTTAAAAATTTTATTATTTTTTTATTGGTTTTCTCAAAAAGTTTTTTATACATTTTGTTTTTCGTTTTAATTAAATAATTAGTCTTACGTTGATGTAAACAATAATTTAAAAAATAAAGTACGCCGTAATCATGACAAACTGAAAGAGAGATAAAAGTACAAATATTTAAAAAAAATTAAGAAAAATATTGTAAAATTTGGGTAAAACTGAATCGCATAAGTCATCTAATCTGAATAAAGTCGAGTTGTCAACAAGTACAAAATTAGAATACATCACACTAAGCTAGTAAACGAACCACAGCATCTACTAATTTGAATATTTTTTAGTTTTTTATAACACTTAGGATAGAATTGCCAAAATTGGAAACTTTTGCTTAGAGGAATTATGAGTGGACTCTGTAAAATTGGATCCTTAAGATTTGTTACTTTCCATCTTTCGTTCTTTCGTTGCAACAAAAAGTGATATCAGTATGCAGTTTAAAGAGTCTCGAAATCAAATTGTACTTAATATGTATTTAAAAGTTCCTTGCTTTTCCATTTCAAGTGACTTGGTGGTGGTGCGGAGTAGTTGAAGCCTTTTAGTATTACCCGATCTCTCCCCTTCGGACCCGATTGAGATCGGTTTGAGATTTTCGGTTGGGTGATATGCGGCCGCGCAGGCGCAACGCGACTTTTGGAGTGGAGTGGAATATAGCAGGAGGAGTTTTACAACTAGAGACAGACTTTCATTAGCAAAATATTGTACTCGGATGTTCAGCGCGTGCTTGGCATATACACATTGATGCATTTAGATCATAGATCATAGCATGTAAGAGCGTATTTTTAATATGGACCAACACAAATAGTTCGAATGTAGATATTGCGTGTCGCAGACTCTTTCAAAATGGATGTATGTACATATCACGCTATTGGCCTAGACAATTTCTTTTCGATTTTAGTTGCGGTTTCGGTTTCGTTTCGGTTACAGTTTTTAAGAGTTTTCAGTTTCAGTTTTCAGTAAGATTTGAGTATCTCGTTGAGCTACTTTCTAGAGTCGCGCTGTGCGTCGCTTTGCATGTTCCATGAACCAACATTTACATTTTTCTTTACAAATACATAGTTTCTCATTTCATATCATTTCTTTCGCTTATTTGTTTTTGTAAACTTTTTAAATTGTATTTAGAAAATTTGTATTTTTTCTTTTTTAAAATATTTTGCTATAAAAAATACACAGTTTGAAAAATAAAAAACGTTTCTCGGCTGTCGTTCTTGCTCGTCTGCGCCTCTCGCTAATGCATTCTTTGCCATTTCATTTCGGTTTATCAACTTGTTTTTAAATTTAAATTTTCTTTTTGTTTTCTGTAGGGGAGAAGAGGCAGGCGATCATTGTCAGACATGCTTTATAAACATTTGATGTGGTTCCTTGTTCACTTTCTTACTTTCTCTACGTTTCTCAAAGTCCTTAACCGTCTACTCTGCATTGGATTTATATTTTTTTGTTGTTGCTCAACGATTTGCTGCACTGTTGCAATTGTTTGTCATTACAGTTATTTATTGTTGCAAAATTTTACAATTTTTTTCTTTCGATTTTTTAATACATATTTATAAATACTTTCATCCTCTCTTAGCTCTGTAAAAATAGATCCATGTTTTCTCGGCTCTTTCGCGTGATTTCGTTTTCCCTTTTTATGTGTTTTTTGTATTTTTTAACAATTTTTCAAATTTTTTTGCTTTTCTTGCTTTTTTTTTTGTAGTGTTTGCATTTTTTTGTATTTTTGCTTTTTTATTTTGGAGAGATTTCGTTTTCAAAAAGTTGTTGTTGTTGGTTTATTTTTGTGGTTGTTTCTTTTTGTATTGTTTTAAATGCCTAAATTTTAGTTTAGAGCTAGCATAACATTGGATATCGGTTTTCATCTTTTTTTTTTTTTTGCTTGTTTTACTCTTTTTTTTCGGTTTGGCTTAACAATAAACATCTTCGTATTTTACTTGTTTATGGTTCTCAAAATGTCTTAGTCGTAATGAATGTTTCGCTTAGTAGCTAATCCGTTTAATCGTAGTCGCTTTGTGGTCGTGCGGAGGGTGGCTAAGTGAGCTGCGCGTGTTTTCAGTAACCAGAAACAGTTTCCTGCTTCATGTTTCCTCTTTGTTTACCCTCGAGGTGCTCAGTTGGCCGCACTTGACATCAGTTCGGAGAAGGCGTTCTCCAGACAATTCTTGAGTTCAGCATATGAGACGATGAGTACCGATTGCTCGTCGCGGGACATCAGTTGCACCTGAAAATATGATAGCCTTTAGTATAATGAGTTCTCTCAACCTACGGGCCGACCTTTTCCGACTTTACTTACGCGCTCTATGCAGCCAGCATCCAGCTTGTTGAGGCATTGTACAATGTGTGCGTGATCTAGCCAGGGCCGGCCATCCTCAGTGACGGAATGGAACAAAAAATCACGGAATAATTTCAACATGTATCTATCACCAGTCTCGGACCAAGTGCAGTCCAGATTTAAGCTGAAAAAGTGGATATATAATATATTTCTCATTTGAATGGTTAGATGGCCAAAGTAAACTTACTCGGATCGCTCATTGATGCAGTTTAGTTTGACCAAAATACGATAAAGCCGCCCGTTCTCCATTTCCTTCGCCAGCTCATCCTCCTGCATATCAATTTGACTCTGCAGGGCATCCAGTTGCGTATAGAAACGGGCACCAATCATCGGCATCAGATCAGTCACCGAGCGACGGTTGTTCGTGGTGAAAAGGTAACTGAGAATTTCAATGGTTAATCCAATAGTAGAGTGGATTTAGCCGGAATCGCTTACACTATGAAGTTACGCAGATCGGTGGAGTAGTTTCGCGTGACCATATCGATGCTTGACTGGACGTTGTCGCGTTGCACAGATTGAAGGCAGCGGCAGGCCAACGCTAATACTAAGCGACCCAAAGCGGTCAAATCATCCTAAGGACATAAACAGTAGTTCCATAAGTACGAAATATTTAGAAAAATGAAAGAAAATTTTACCTGCTGGTGCATGTTAACCAGTGCCAAAGGATTGGCCGCATTCGGATCGAATTGCGTAATGTCCGCGATGCAACAGGAGCTAAATCGTACCCGCTTGCCCGTCACTATGATCTTTGTGGGATCCAGAACCCTGCAACAAGGGTTTAGTAAGTTAAGCTGGCCAAATAGCATCCTGTGATTACTTACTTGCATGCAAGACCGGCATGGTGGATGGCTTTTAGACCGGCGGTCAGCTGCATGATGATCGACCAGATGGTGGCCTCTGGGAGAAGGGGTCCATTGCTAGTTCGCTGCATATTACTCTTATGACTGCAGAGATAATGTATAAGTTATAGCATGCATAGAATCTTGGTTGAAGAAAAGCTCACCTGAAGGGGCGGGCCTCGCCTTGGAATGGATCAGTGTACCCGTTGGTCTCTGGCGTTGGTGTGAAGTATTTGGCCAGTAATGTTTGTGAGCCGGGATAGTAGTCGTACACTAATACTAGAGCTGTGGATGCCCGATAAACATTATTGATATGGTAATTAGGTTTTTTTTCAGCTCAATAATCCTGCTTCAGCCTATCAAATACCACAATATATTTACGGAACCAAGGCTAACGCTCTCCTTATCACTGATTACCAAGTTAAGATTTGTGATAATTATATTCTGCTTAGTTAAGATTACGAAGTGTTGAGTTGAACGAATTTGAAGTGTCGAGACATAAATAGAACCCACAATCGCCACAGATATTACCCTTTATAACTCGGTAATTATAACCTTTAAGCTCTAATCACTGATGAGGCTTTGTAACCTTTTACAATGACCCTATAATTATACAGATGACACCATTCTTTACTCCCAGGAGCAGCATTAAACACACACTTATAGCTAATGGTATCAAAGACCTTTCCCCACTTACAGTTATCACCAAATGCTTTCGTCGTGAACACCTCACGCAATTGTACCACATTCGTGTGCTGCAGCTTCTTCCACATGTCCACCAACGTCATGCACTTGGTCGACTGCAGGCGGAAACCTTCAAAACCGAATATAAGATTAATCACAAATCCACATTTAGGGAATGCAATTAATCACTCACCGTGTAACCTTCGCAGGCAGTACTTATAGCCCGTTGTGTTGTGCGTTGCCCGATAGGTGCTGGCGGGAAGCGTGAGCTTGGCGTGCATCGGCTGAGCCGGCGGTTCTAGTGGATATAGAGCATGGTAGTTATCCACCTCCATCGGCAGAGCGTGCTGCGCAGCCTCCACTGCGTCCATGATAAGGTTGGAGATCTCATTGCGGGCAAGGATTTCAGAGCGCATCTCGTCGGGCATGAAGAAGGCCGACTCCAGCAGTGTCTTCGGCTGCAGGGTGACCACGTTGGAGGATGGTCCCGGATACACATGCCCCGTGTACATTATAGTCGGCGGAACTCCCGCATTCATTGGTGCCACAGCACTTACGCCATGATGTGCCGGATGTGTAGTGTCTACCACTACGGAATTGACAACGGGCTGGTTGTTCTGTGCGTTGGCAGTTGGATAGAAGTAAATGGTGCCTCCGACGTTCTCCTAAAAATATATATAAAATAATATGACGATACTTCATAAGATTCAAAGTGGATATGCACTCACCTGATGAACGCTGGTAGGCAGCGAAGTGGGTATGGGTGATGCTCCGTGCGGCGTCATCCCGTGTGGTGGCGATTTCTCACCGGGTCCTCCGCCCGAAAGCATGGCAGCCGTGGGCGATTCCTGGCGCAGCATGGCACCCCGTCCCTTGAGCGGCGTTTGGGCGGACATGCTGCTGACGAAAGGAGCGGCGGCGGGATTCGGTGGTGCGCCACTGATAGCGATGGGGGCGGAGGCGTTGGATATACCTCCACCGCCCACAGGCGGCGGATGTTGTTTCTGTGGATGCTGTTGCTGTTGTGCGATGGTAACAGTGGCGATGGAGGCGGACTTTTGCAGGGTGAGCATGGAGCCACCACCGTTGACCGTTTTGTTGATATTTACGGAGGCGGAGGACACCGATGACGTGGGTGAGGGAGCTACTGCGGCTGCTGCTACTGCGGCAGATGTTAACCCATTGACGCCGTTGAGCCCATTACTCAATTGCATGGGCGCGTTGTGATATGGTGCGTAGAAGTTGGGGGTCGAGCTTATGCGCGTTGGAATGAACTCGGGCGGTGACTGCGGTGTGACCTATGGGGAATCCATTAAATAAGAGAGAATTAGTGATAATCCTTAAATGACTGCTGCCATTTCGAACTCGGCAAGAGTTTCCTAAAGTAGTTTTGTCTTCATTAAGTTTTCCAATTGCTATTTTTAAATATATTTCTTGATTTCAAATAGATTTATTTTTAAAGCCACTCTTGTAATCTCTTGCCAAATTGAAGATTTCACACCTGTAAATAACACACAGATAGACAGTTTTTAACATTTTGGGAGATAGGGTGGTGCTAAACTAACTACTACTCTAAGGAGCTAATGTAAACCTCTACGGAAACATTTACAAGTCTAACGCATTTAGCGAATGTCACAGAAAACAATGGAGGAGGGGAACCAGATGTTTACGGCTTTACCTGGGACTTTTTATTTAGGGGCGAATCCAAATTAAGTAGTGAGAACCCGTTATTCAGCCCATAACCGCTCGTTGTGGCGACATTCTGTCGATTCTGAGATGAGACACCAACAATCGGAGTAGACGGATAGATAGAAGTTCGGAGAAATACAAAGAAAATAGTGAGAATAATTCAGTTGTGCTGGGAGTTTCAAAATAAAAGATAGCTCAGTAAATTATAAATGGTTCGCAAGAATTACAGATATGGATGGGATTTAGGAGGATTGTTTAGAATATCTTTAGTTTGAGTGCCGTCTGCAACAGATACTACTGCTTCAACCAGAGTGTTTGTCTCGTCTATGCAACCATTATCTTATCTGAAGTCCACAACTTGAAATTGTAGACATTGCAGTGCCATTCTCTTATGTATTACTTTTCCTTATCACAAAAAATTAGGCAGTTCGATCTTACTTCTAAACTTTAAATAAATAGAATATGCTTTATGAATTTAGTAAGAGCTTCAATATAAACAATTTATTCGCAAGATTACTTGGTTTATAATAAAATATTTACATTATATTAGCAAGCATTTAAAAATAGACCATCATATCTTACGTTCCCATTTCTTTATAAAATGAAAATTCTCAGAATTGAGTATATTAAATTGATTAATATCTGTCATGGTATTGCAAGACATTCTCATTGAATTGTTCCATTTGATTTGCTGATCTTTGAATTGTAAAACTGAATTGAGCGGCAAATGTACCATTAAATTCCGTATATTTTTCCATTAGCACACTTCCATTTCAATTATGCGGCCGACACATTAATATTTTATTGTTAATAATTCGTCGAGCTTTTCAAAAACTCGCAAAATCATATACTCTCACAAGTATATATGTATATTGCTTTCCGCCTCAAAGAGAATCAAAAATCCATGCATAAGCACAAATTGATATTTAACTTGCATATACGACTTATATGGCACTCTGTGTGTCAGTGGTCCCAAAAATAAAATGAAAAGAGCCCGAAAAAGTCGGTCAAGTGTATATTATGTGCGTTGAAATTGAAATGTTTCGAGTAAATTGAGTGAAAACAAATAAAGCATAATTAAAAATACTTGAGCAAATGTGGCCAGCTGTTAACTTGGCGGCCAACAGCTGCTTTCAGTGGGTGCTTTTTGTTGGGGGTGTTATGATAATCTTCCCCTTAAACTGTTATCGCCTTGTTTTCGTTCTTATTTTTGTTGTTTGGTGGGTGGGAGACTTTGATAAGAGTTTTTGGGAGTGGAACGGAGAAGTTAACTTACCATATAAGTTGCGAGTTTACTCTCTGACGGTATACCATTCGTTGGCGAGAAGAAAATTGGATCCATAGCAGCCGTATCTACAAATAGAGCGAGAAAAAGTTGGAATTATATTGTATTATATACATAGAGAGAGTTGCGTTACATATGATAATTGATTAGAAATCAATTAAACAAACATCAACACGAATGGTATGTGTGCTGATGTATGCGATAAGCCTACCCCATCAAACTATTCCACAACCCTTCCCCCTTACTCTACCAAAATTCCTGTTTTTTTGTTATATTTTTTGTTATTTTCCACAGTTATCGATACGACGATAACGAGCGTAGGCCCCAACATTTTTGGAGTATGCGCAATATACATATATGGCTGTTCCGCTTCTCCTGCTTCTTCTTGGGACTCCAGGTCAAAGCAAATAAAAGCCAAGACGCAATTTCTGCGGTAAACAACAGAGCCGCCAAACTTAGAATTCAGCAATTCACACAAAATAATACAGCACAATATATACGAGTATATATATATATAATAGAACAGCCCGTGTATACTACTACTGTGCACGATATTTTCAGGTTACTCAGGTGTTTAACACAATACCTTCCTCCTATGTAGACAACTCGAAAGCAGCGCCGTCATGACTAACCCAACTAACCAACGATTCTATGCTGAACTCCTACTTCGCTTCAAAGTTCTCAGATTTTCGAACGCCCTCTCCACCGGATATTCGAGTGTTGAATCAATGCTAAGCAGACTCGTTTCAAATGCAAGTGCCTTTGCCTTTGCCTTCGCCACCGAACCGAACCGAAAGTGAAAAATTCAATTTCAAAAGCAAAACATTTGATTTCGGGGTACGGGGCCAATGCCTCTTGCCAATGTACGAAGAGAAAACAAGTGATATTGGCCTTGAATTCGCTATATAGCATATAGACGACTACGAAAAAAAAAACTCTTTTTATATATATAGTAATATATGGAGCAGGTTGGGGCGGGAGACGACAGCTGGGAATATATTTATTGACTGAATTTTAATAGGCCCTATTGGTGCCATTCTTCCATTTAATAACTGCAAATATGCTAAATTCCCAAGCAATTATTATGACACAATAATATAGGGTTCTAAGCAACGCTCAGATATTGTTGAGTAATAATCAATACTAGAATATCATAATTCTAGTAGCTAAATGACTTTTTAATTTAAAGAGACACGATTACACAAATATCTAGTATTAAAATGGAAACATTAAACTCAAAACGTTGTCATTGAATCCAAAGGGTTAATCATTACTTTCCTTTTGAAGGGTAACAACTATTCGTGAATCCATATTTTGTTTACAAATTGAGAGATTATTGTTGCTGTTGATGATGCTGTGGCCATATAAGCAATAATTCGTAGCCTGATTTTATTTATTTGACTTCGAATTGGAAAACAAACAGACGAACGCCAAGCGATTTAATTGAATGCCTACATATGTTAATGATAATTATTATGTGTGCTTTTATTTATTTATATTTCGTGTGTGTATTCTGGGCTGGGTAATTAGGGGGCGAAGGAGGTGGGCGGGCGATAACCTGTTAAGGCAGGGCAACAGTTGGGAAGCCACAAACAGGTGTTGTTGGTCACAGTTTGGCAGACCAAGACTTACTTGAACATGGCCAGAATCAAAGTTGTTTTCACTTTACATAAATCGTTAGCCACTGGTTGTTTGTTGGCATGACGTCGGCAGAAAACTATATACGTCTATATTTTTGGGTTTACGTGAGCAATTTCGGTTTTTGGCTCTATGTATATATATACATAGAAAACCGATGATTATTGGGCCGTTGCCTTATGCTGCGTTTCGCGGTGAAATGGACAGCTTTAGCTTTGTTTTGCTTCAAAGATCACGAACGCGTTCATGAAAACGCCACACTCAAATATATACATTCGGCTACATATACATATATTTATATGTATATTTCATATACATATATAGATGGTCACACGTTTGGGGAGCAGGCCAAACAATAACAAAATGTGTGCTGTTACGTCACGTTAAGTGAATATGTAGATGTGGCAGAGCGGTATGGATGGTCTACCATTTACGATTTACCATTTACCGCCCAGCGCAGCTCACTTTGTTGCTATTTTATTCAAAAGGGAGAGCCCCGTATGTAATTGTTTTTGTTTGCCTTCGGTCGGCGCAAGTGTAAGAGTAATGAATATGCAAGCGGTGAATATAACACATCGGATCGCTTCAAATCGGGGGACCATCGATCGCGCCACGAACCGAGCGGCAGCGCAGCGTTCTCTAAACTGAAAAGCCCAGCCGCTTTTTTGCTTTGGGGAAACGCGTCAGCGGACGACTGCACACTGGGTTCGGATTCGGAAAAAATGTGAGTTCATGAAAGTTACGTTATTTTATGGGAAAAAAGAAAAACTAATTTTAGAAGTTTCTGCATTTCAAGATTTTACCGATAGTTTAAGTTTCTTCTTAATTGAAATTGGAGTACACTTAAGCTTTTTCTGTGTTTATTCATTTGCGCCACTGTGCGTGGGCAGCTAAAAGAGAGAGAGGAAACAAGCTAAGAGCAAGAGCGAGCGGGCCTGGCTCCACAGTGCGTGTCAAACTGTGTGACGATGACAGACGAGCGGCGAAGACAAAGTGGGCGTGTGGTGGTGTGGGGTCCGCTCGCTCGTCCGCCCGATTAACTGTAAATATGTGGCCATAGCTGCAGATGTTGTTGTTTTTGTTTTGGTATTGCTGCATATACAGTAAAACTCTCATACCTTGAGTATTTGCCAAAGTTTTTCAGAAAGAGTTCTATGCCCCAAATAAGACTTTAAAACTAAAAGGAGAATCTTTAAAAGGAAACTGCAGAATTTTTGCAAATTTAAAGTTCATAGTCTGCAAATATGACATTGACCATTTAGTGCATCATAATTATTTTTAAATAATTTAAAGAAAATGCCTATCAATCACTTTTTTCAAATTGCTTAAAAGCTGGTAATTTTCCAAAGTAAACTCATAACATTCCCATAATTGTAGTTCGGGTTACTTAAATCCCACTGTAGTGGGAAAGTTCAAGCTCTGCAGGCACACGCGCAACAGTAAGAACAATGAAAATCCATTGGCGTTGTTTGTTTGTTTGTTTATTTCCCTCTTACAGCACCGAAGTGCTCACAGTTTGGGAGGCCCCCAGCCTCGGTTCCAATGACCCTTATACTTTTCGATCGCAGGGGGATTGCATTCCGAGTAGGCAGGGGAAAAATTAAGATCATTTTGAATCTTTACTTTATACCTACAACTTTATATAATTTTGACACCATTACCTTAACAAATATCGTTTTAATATTTTGATTAAAATCAAGTTATTTACGGAATACAACCCAACGATCGGCAATATTTTTTTCGGTGCAGGCATGTGTTTGTCCATCGCCAAAACGAGTATATTGCGGATTCTAATTATGAGAGTGGGGCGTGCAAGGGGGCTGTAAGCGATCATCTGATAAGTTCACATCATAATGGGAAGGCGGGTGTGGAAGCGAAAGGCGAGGGCTTCACGCACACACGTGGCCATCGGTTTATGGCATGCAAAGCTCTCGGTGTAATAATAATTCACTCGCACACTTTTGTAAGTACATTATAAATGAAATATTTATAGCCAAGGCTTTGGCTTCATTATCAGCCCAACCGCAGTCTATATACATGAATATATATATGATACCTTAAAGGTATACATACTATGCACATACTAACTGGTCCCCAACATGATTTCCTGTATTAGAAAGATCAAAAGAAAATGATAGAACCCAAATATTACGAGAATCCAAATCAGAACCACGGGCCCCTGTTAAGTGTCATTTACAGTTAAATGATAAGGAGACACTTCACCTAAAAGGTAATAAGATAAGAACCCATAAGTCAAGACAAGGTAGTTTCTGTAATTGAAAAAATAATAGCCTAGAGGAGTTTCTCTTAAAAGATAGCAATGAGCTATGGCTTGTCAAAAAACAGAAGTTCTGATAAAAAGTATAATTTTTACTTAAAACACAAAATTAGGAATTACATTACTGTAAGCCTAGCAACAAGCAACCCTTTCATTGCTGTTTAGTTTAACAGCTCAATTAGTAAATCACATTATTTAATGACTCTGTTTAATGACTAAAAACTTATCAAAAAGCAAAAACAGTCATTGGATGACAAAATATGGTAAATAATGTTCAATGCACTTGAACTTTAAGCTTTGTTTTGCTTTTCAAACACTATTTTCCCATGTTGATCTTGCTGAATATTTTAAGTGTCTATGTAGCACTTAGCCAATAAATTTATAGATACGGGGTTAAAAATGGATGACAAGTGTCGAGGTCACCAAGACCAATTGTTGGCAATCATAATTTATAAGAATTTATTTGTAATAAGTTATGTTTTTTCTTAATACGATTTGCAGGCATAAATTTCTATTAATTTGTAGCAAATTCAAAATAATTTACCTCAATAGGTTCCCACCAAACTCCTTTTGAGTGGTTAAAAAATAAATTAATTCTGCTGGTGGGAACCCATCAACTAGATCGCTCTTCTGCCTGGCTTCTGTTTTCTTGGTCGCGTCTCTAAACTTGGCCAACAGAACCGTAAACCGCTTGTCAATCGTTTTTACTGCCGATCGCAATCTGAGCTTGATATCGGACTAACCTCAGAGAGCTGCAGACTGAGCTGTTTTTTCCTCTTATTTTGGTTTTTGTTGGCCAACAGACAAGTTTGGTTGGTTGCTTTACTGCCAGCGGCAAAAGGCAACACGGAGCGGCAGAAAGACGGCAGCCAGCAACAGTTTGACCCAATTTTTCGCTGAGCTCAACAACAGCTGCTTTCAATCATAGACGCTTGAGCCGAACAGCTGTGCAAATCGCGCTATTGAGCGGGGGATGAGGTCAAATCGAGGGGTTTTCAGGGGCTAGATAATATCTACCGGGTAGATATATCTTTTCAACACTGGGCAACGAAACAATTGCGAAAGCCACAACGAAAACGAAAACGTCCGAAATGTAAATTGTGTGTAAATATGTACACATGAAATTAAGCCTACTCGCTTTATTTTATTTATTCGCCGTTCGTATTCATTTTCGTATGCATGCGATTTCGACAGCGTGAAGTTTTAAATTTTCGAAATGCGGCCATTGAGTTGTCAAAGAAAAACTCGTGGGCGAAGAGGGAAAAGTGAGTGGGGTGTAGAGACACCAGTAGCGGAAGTTGTAAATGTGAAGCGGGCCACAAAATGATATGCAGACTGGGAGAGCGATACAGTCCAACTTCCCTAACTCAAACAGGAGTGGTCTTCGAAGCTAACATACTACTCGTATTAAACTAATAAGCACGTTAGCTGTTGGAGCTTAAGGAATAAGTAAGCTGTGCTCTAATCGCCTTGGAATTTACTTCATAATAAAAATTAGTAATCAGAAAATATATAAAGTAATTTATTTATATCTATACGTAGTTTCATTCTCTTTGAGGAATTTTTAATATTTTTATATATTTCAGTCCCTGAGCGTTATTTCAAAACCATTTATCGTAAAACGCTGTTATCACTAAATTATTTTTACAAGTAAGTTGCGGTATTGAAACAAAAATCATTTATTTATTAATATAACTCGGGCTGTAGGAAGGCTGTTATAAATGGCAGTTGTTGTTGTTTTCAAAGAGTTTCCAGAAAACTCAAATGACTTATAATATTTGAATATATTTTTAAGAACTTCAAATATAGTTGTTGTTGAGCAGTTTTAGTTAATGAAGTTGAACTGTAGAAATAAAGCACATTGTGAAAGTTTCTCCATGTCGCCCTTTATCATTTCCCACTCTCCCTTGCCCTTCAACTAGAATCTGCTTCTTCTTCTTCTTGGTGTGTCTCAGTTTCAGAGTCAGCATTTGATTGATGCCCTCGTGTGATTGACGGCAGAAGCAACAACACTTTACCTCGGGGGGTTAAAACATGTCACGCATTATATTCCGATTCTCAACTGTTTTTTTTTATCGCTCCACTTTTCCAGCGCGGTAACCGTTAAGACCTCCACACAAACACATACACAGGCACACATACACTGAAGCACTCACACATTCGCATTTGATAATTCCAACGACAGTGGCGTATGTAGGTGTCGAAAAAGGGGGCCGTGGGTTAAACTGGCGTTATTTTTTTTCGAAATCCCGCCGTTTGCTAACGCTCGCGTCCGCTGTTAAAGAGTGACTAATAAAAAAACACAAAAAGTAAGCACCTCCAACGAAAAAGAGAGCGAGAGAAAAGCAGAGATTCAAAAAGACGCGAGAAAATAAAATAAAAAGCAAACACCTCTCAACACAAAAACACGAAGCAAAGTGCAAAAGCAAACAGCAAAGCGCAACAATGCGAGAACAACAAAAACAAACACGAAAAAAAAACAAAGGAAAGACAGCAAAACGAAATCCCCAACGAAGCGAAAACAAAACAGCAAAGGTAAAAAGACAAAATACAAAAGTCGAGAGCGCGTGATAATACAGTTTGAAAAGCATAGGTCTCCCCAGATAATTAATAGTGTTATCGTAAGAAACTCGAGCATTTATTATAGAAATTGGTAGAATGGTAAACAAGCCCTCTCGAAGATTAAAAATATATATTTAATAAGAAATTCGATAATGATCATTAAATTATTTCTATCCGAGGTTTAATAGAAATTGTTTTTGGAGTTGAATATGATTTAATGGTGTTCTTGTATTAAATTATTATTAAACATATAAACATATAAGGGGAAAAAAATCGTTTATTAAACTCGTAATTATGCCTTCTTAACATCTGAAAAGCTGGTCAAATTAAGTGAGAGATGAGAGAGAAGTAGAGATCTCCATATGGCAAGATATATGCAGAATTCAGAGTGCCTAATATCTCCCCTTCCATTTGTATAATAACGTACCGGAAATCCGTGCTGTTGGGCAGCATGGAACTGAAGATAATGACATCTACCAAAGGCAATAAAACTGGCCGACATTTACTCCTCCACTCTGAGATTGCCATATTGTTCGGCACGTGTCCGGGCCACGCACTTGGCCAAATTGCTTTATGGCCACTAGACTGCGGGCCCAGGCCCAGCGGCGTATTTACGAGATATTCGAGGGATATGTCCCATTATAATGGCAGGGAAATGCGAAATGGGAAATGGGCGGAACACCCGGGCGTATGAGTAATGCGTGTGTGCACAGCATTTTGGCCCAAGGGCGCAATGTGATTTTTGGCAAGCCAAGAAGCGAATGCGAAATTAAATGGCCAAAGAGGCAGAAAGGGGT